ATTAGCTCTTTAAATAATAATCTATAGATTATATTATTATATTTTCAATTACATATTTTATTATTTTTTTCGAGCTTAAAACAACGGATTAAAATGAATGCTTTTTTGGATTAGTTATGAAATTTTTAAACTTTGATTTGTAGAACAAATTTTTATATAAAAATATAGTTATGGGTCAAAGAATGGTATTATGATTTTAGCCAGAAGCTTGAAACTCTACGAAAAACTCATTTCCGACCCTACAAACCATATATATTCTTGATCAGCATCAAAAGCTGAGTCGATCTAGCCATGTCCGATCCAAAAATAAATTTTTGAAAATTTTTCGAAAATTTAAAATTTTATAAGGGGTTACATCATTAAAATTGTCAAAATTTGACAAAAAATTGAATATTTTAAATTTAAAAACCGAGTATGCAGATTTGTTAATCGTCTAAAAATTAGCATAGAACAGCTTTCCGAATTAAAATTAATGCATTTGTGGCGTAGTTATGATTTTTCATTTGTCATTTTAAAATAATAATAAATGTCGTTTCAAAGCATGCGAATAGTTTAATCTTAGTCATAATCGATTTCTGGTTCTATTCTACATAACTACTTCCTACTTTGCAAAACTGCAACTTTGGCTATCTGAAGTTAGTTTTCTTTCTGGTTTTTTATAGTTTTCTTTTCTGTTCGTTAAGGGTCAGTGAAAATTTAAAGTAAAATATGTAAAGTGGCTCTTCAACAACTCAAGAGCCAGGTGCTTAAACGGAAGAGGGACTCTGCCAGACAGGAAATACCAAAAATATGGGCACTTAAACTATGTTTATACTTAAATATATTATCTATTGAAGAACTCTTCAATATTATTTTGAAACTTGTTAACTAGTGCTAACGTCAGTTGGTCAAGGAGTTAGGTTCAACCGGTTAAAACTCGCTGGCAATCGTAAATCTTGGCCACGGTAGTCCCCACTGGCCCCATCTTATCACCGCCGAGGTTTGGTCCCCACTGACGCACACCAAATGGACGCATCTAGGTCCCCCCCCTCCCAAAGATAACATTTGGCAGCGCCTATTGTCGGTAATTGAGACGTTTTACAGCCCCTGCATGCTCCCCCAGGTCCGAATTGAATATATATATATATATGTATATAGCATATATAGTCGATATGCCAATCGGACCGTCGATGTGTTAAGTGAGTTAGGGGCACTTTGCCTCCCGGCCGACCTGACGTCAGTGCAAGTGCAGTGAGCTCCAGTCGAAAACCAAGCCAATTGACGAAAGCGGTCTGTACTAAATTCATCAATTGGCAAGCCCCGGAAAAAAAAATGGAATCGAAGGCAAAGAGGCTAGAAAACACAACAGAAATAGCATAGAATGGACAACGCAGAAGCGACAACGGCAACACAGCGTTTTTGGGAGGGGAACAAAAAAGATGATTTGCTTTTATTTTAAAAATCGTTTCATTTATTTTGCGTCAGCAGCGAACAGCGCTCAACCGCTCAATGAGGAAACGCTGCGTATACATAATTTTTCTGGGCAAATATACGCACTCCCATATCATCCGTCCGCCGGCAGTCCGAATCCAATCAAAAGCATAGACGAGTGATCTTTCCTTGGCCCGGACACATACGGCAAACTGTTTGATATGGCTTTTTGCAGGCTCTTTCAAATGCCTTGTTTTCGAGTGTTTGTGGTTCTTTTGGTAGCTAATCGTTATAGTTCTAAGACATTGTTTTCGAAATCCAACTTTATCATTATTTCTATGGAAACTAAATATATATATTTTAATCTGTTTTCTTTTATATACCATCACGTTGTTGGTAGAAAAACACCACAACAAAGTGTGTGTTGTGATGACTTGTTATTGAGTGTTTTGTAGGCTAATCGGATTTATTTTTAACTTTCGCTTTTTATTTTCAACTCTATCAACGGTTCTAGAGGGAAGTTCTTCTAAAGGCTTAAAATATGGATTTTATTTATATATGTGTGGGAAATAGAATTGTAGTTTTAACAGAACAGAATTTAACAGAATTATTGACTTGGAATAGTGCTATATTTCTATAGCAATTAAATGAATAATTAATTTAATTTTTAGCTAGCACGATGCACTGTGTATTCCATTGAAAATGATTTAACCTATTTGGATATAATGGTTTAATAGCTTAGTCACATTTATTTCCTAGCTAATAACTGCTCGAAACGGGTAGGTAGATAGTTGGTTCTAAGTTGGCCTTGTTTTGTTATTGCAAATAACTTTTTAATTCCCAGCGTTTCGTTGCCATGGCACTATGATTTACATAGACTGTGAATGGATTCACAAGTATTAATTTGTCATAATGTACTGAGAACCACGCCTTCTCTGCCCTGAAAATCCGAACAGCTGGCTGGAAATAGAACCCGGCTTGGAGAGATGAATCCGTCTTGGCCCCCAGACACGAGGACGCTGAGAATGGGGGATAGTCCTGACACTGGTAAAAAAAAAGGGACTAAGCCGCGCAAAGGTCGCTATGCAAAGCCAAGGTCGGGATTTACAGCCAGGTCATTGTGTTGTGTTGCCTAGCTGGCAGCAGAGGGATGCCCACGCAGCACGTCCTTCCCCACCTGTCAACTGGCCGGGGTAAAAAATAGAATCAAACACATGGGGGGACAAGGGAGAACAACAACTTTCGCATTTTATTTGCATTTCTGAATTTATTGCCTTCGGTTTCGCTTTCGTTTTACATTTCCCAACTCGTTGGTGCTCGGTGCTTGGGTAATTTTCGGGAATTCGACGGCGTCGCCGACAGCATTGCTTTTTGAACCAACCAGGGGCTTCTACAGTACCTCAAAGCAATTAAAATTACAAAAAAAAAAACGAAATAAAATAAAATAACCCGGGCAGTAGCAACAAAGCCACCGCAGCAGTGGCAGCAAAACCACCTCAATCCTCCTTTCTAATACGTCTTCATCTTTCCAGCCAAGGACTTGGCCACGTTTGAAATTCAGGCAGCAACCGCAGAGTTTGGGAAACCCAACAGTGGGTGGAATTTAATTTCAGAAAGCGAACTTCTTTGTAGCGTCACTTATTCGGTGATTACCTTCAAGCATTTTCCTTTCAATGGACAGATATTTTAACAATTGAAGCCTTACAAAAAGTAGGAATGTGAGTTTAATTTTAACTATATAAACAAAACGGAACTCAGCTCAAATTAAAGGTAAACTACCTTTAACTATATGGAACTAAATGTTACTTCAAAATCTACTCAGAAATTGTAGGTTACATTTTTAAATTTGTTTAAATATACTTTAAGATCGTACATACAATATATGACATGCACTTTTGTGTTACACAAACAAGTCGCACTAAAAACTATTTTAAAGTTTTCTTTTAGTTTATAAAATGTCCCACAGTGCTGCGGTTGGGAAAGTATGCGATAACAATAACATCGTAGGTGTTTTGGGGGTTACTGGGCTGTCAGTCACGGTCACGGCTGCACCCACATGCCTCCCTCCAATCGGAGTCCGGCAAACAAAGGATGCGGGACAGGACGACGTAGAGGACGGAGAACCGAGCAGAGCAGCTGATGGCCAACCGAAGAAGGAAAATTCAATAACAGCAACGCAGAAACAAGAACAGAAACAACAAATATTCAACACCCACGCAAGAGTAATGGGAGCAGTGGCAACAACAGCTGCTGCAGGATTGCTGATTGGGTGGTTCTCGGTATGAATTCGAGGACTCAAAGTCATTGGAAAGTAACCAGACACGCCGAGACTGGATTACTCTTTCATGGTAAATCACTTAAATCAAAGGCAAGTTCAACAAAATCTAGAGTTTCCAAAAAAAATTGGGAATATATTAATCCCTGTAATAGGTACTATTTCATTAGCTATATATTTAAGGGGGGTTACAAAATAATACTATATGACTGCGAATTGATTTTTTTGTTAAGTGAGAACTGAAAAAGGACGTTTTTACCACTTGGTCAACATAAAATACAGCAAGTCATTAAAGAAACTACTGTTTTAGTTCTTCTCTTTTATATTTAAAGATAGTTTGGCAGAATAAACATTCCAGTGTTTTCTGAATTAGACCTTAAGACTTTGATAACAAATAAATTGTTATAAGAAAACAAGTCCCTTGAATTTGCATGATTAATCGCAAAAGGGGATTTTAACCTGACCGTGGGGCTCTCCCGAAAAGGGGTTCTTTTTGTGATTGAGATGTATTCTGGATATCGATATATAATTAAGAGGAAATGGGGATTTAAACTAAACCAACGGTCTCTTCCGAAAGTTGGTTCTTTTAGGATTAAAATATATTTAGTAACATAATACTAAAACCAAATCAGGTATAGGTGAATTATTATTATTATGTATAATAATAAATCAACTTCACTTTAGTGTTCCAAATTGGATAATCAATGGAAACTATTTTCTACTATCTATGAAGGTTTATATGAAATTGTACCTTTATAGGTAATTTAGAATAACATGTTCCCACTATATAAATAATAATAATAATACTAGAATATTTATATCACAAGCCACACCACATAAAATCCTTCTGATTTTATCAAATTTGGTTTTCCAAAAATACGTAGTTATCTGTCGCTCGAAATTTAAGGGTATACAAAAAGTGTATCAATAGTTTTGTTGATGTTTTTAGCACGGACTTTTTTTTGTCGGCAAATGATGGCGTGTGTACAAAAACAAATGAGCAAGTGGCGTGGGTAGCTGCGGTGTGGTGGGGTTTTTTGTTGCGCTGCTGTGATAACCTTGTACTTTACTTGTGATAAAAACTATTTGGTTGTTTCTGCTGCAGCAGCGGCTTTTCTCGGAATGTTTATAAACAAAACAAAGAGAGGCGAGACTGAGATAGAAATAGGAAAGGGACGGGCAGGGTTCTTCGCCGCCGTCACCACCACCACCGACAACAGCAACAATTCGCCCATAAAAGTCAGCTGCTGCGGCGACTGCATTATGTAAGAACTATTTGCAACATACATATCTCTTTATGCATCAATTTACTCACCCTTTCTTTATAAACTATTCGGAATTTAGAGACTAATTGCGACGCGCCCCCTCCTCAGCGTTGGTGATGTTGTTGCTGCGGCTGCTGCTATCCGGCGAAGGTGCTGTTGTTGTTGTTGGCAAAGCAAAGGAAATCTTCGGGTGCAGAACGTGCAGAATCTTCTGGTCTGCGTCATTCGCCAAAGCGCGCGTATTTTTACCGAAACACAACCTTTCGCGACGAATTTTAAAAAATTTTTGTTTTTTTCAGGTTTTCAGTGGGGCTGTTTTGTTTTTCCCAATATTGCGTTTTTTCTTTTGATATTTTTAAATATTTTTGTGTTGGTCACTCTGAATTCCGAAGCTGTTATTTAACATTGGACATCTTACATGTACAATATGACAATTTTACACGCTTACATATACATGGGGTCAAATTCTCATTTGAAATATATCGAAAGCTTGAATTTCGCGCCAAGTGGCGTAAAAATAATAGAATATTTTCGACAATTTAAATAACTCATAACTTAACCAAAAACGCATTAATTCCAATTCGAAAAGCGCTTCTATGTTAGGTTTTATTAGGTTAATAAATCTGCATACTCAATTTACAATTTTACAAAATTAAAAAATTTTGACAATTTTTGAGAATTTTAATGATGTAACCCCTTAAAAAAAAATTGAAATTTTTGACCGGACATGGCTAGATCGACTCGGCTGTTGATTCTGATCAAGAATATATATGATTTATAGGGTCGGAAATGGCTCCTTCACTGACTTTCATGCTTCTTACTAAAACTATAATATCCTGAAAGGGTATACAAATTATGTAGCCAAAGCTGCAAGCACACCTAATAATACTTGAAAAGATTTACATCTTATTTTATTGGTTAACTATTCTTATTTTTTAAGAAAATGTTCAAAATGTCTTTAGTAAATCGAATACCACGGTGCGGAACATGCAGGATAAGGCGCAGTCGAAGCGTCGCAGGCAGAGCTGTCTGAGGCCAAGAAGGAGCTGTCCGAAGCGCAAATAGTTTGACTGCTGCAGTGTGTACCGAGCCAAGGAGACCAGGGCCGCATTCGAGTGACTTCCCAGGATCACAGCATACTCGGCATTGACAGCCAACTCTATATAACAAAGCGGAAATTAAATTATAAAGGCAAGTTAGCTTGAAAACATTTATTTACCCTTCCGGCACAGGATGAGCGTTTCCAGGAAGTTCAGTTCCAGCACGTCGGCCCTCAGCTGCTGTGCCTCAAAGATTAACCGCTTAAGCTGGTCATCACCACATCCATCCACCATAGAGCTTATATCCAGTGACCAGTGGGAGGCTCGCAGGACAAAGACTTCGCTCCACACCACCTGAAGGATAGCATCCTGCTGGCAGCGGTCCAGCAGAGCAAATTGCTCGTTAGCCTTCGCCTGGCGCAGGCAAGTGACCAGGATCTGGGCAAGGATCTGGAAGTGCAGCGCCTGTGAGTGCGGCGTGGCTGATGTCGTAGGCTGGGCCTGGGGAGGATGTCTTCTAGAGCCACGGTAAAGGGTCACCTGCTGGTTTCGTGGACCCCGCTCCTCCTGGACGGCTGCGGCGTTCATTCCAACGGCCAGACATCGCTGAAAGCGGCAGGAGGGGCACCAGTTCCTTCTCGCCTTGTCCACCACACAGTTCCCAACGAGAGCAATGCAGGCATAGCTGCTGCTCCGTCTTACGCTTCGCTTGAAAAAGCAGGAACATCCATCGCAGCAGGACACACCATAGTGCTTCCCGGAACTCTGATCTCCGCAAACCGAACAGGCACTAATAATACTCGACATGGTCACCGCCGCCAATAAGAGTCGCGTCCGACTGAATCAGGGACCTATGAATATTGGCGGTTTTATATGCGAACCGGATGTCCCACGCCCGCAAAGGATATGCAAACCAAATACACTTGGAAAGAATGATGGGGATACAGTAAAAAAAAAACTTCTTAATATAATAAAAGGTATCCATAATTCAATATTTTCAGTCTGTATTTATCACCTTTGTGAACTTGTTTCAGTTGGGAAAAATATTTACTAAATATTATAACAGATCAGAAAGATCTGCTTAATTTTTTAAGGATACAAGATTCCTATATACCATAATATTTTCAAAGTGTAGGAGTGCATTGTGCTCCAAGCGTGATTTGTGGTTTTCTGTTTGCCGGAGACGCTCCCGGCAGAGGCGTTGCGCGTCAAAAGTGACAATCACATACAACTATTGCCGAGCGTGTTAACAATTTGTAAACAATTATTGTTTTGCTCTGTGATTGGACGCGCGCTGGCCACTTCAAGTGTCCGCGCTGAAGTCCTTAGCGCTGACACTCCGTGTAAATAGCGAAGAGTCCTGGAGGGTGGAGCCCGGAATGGGCTGTAAGCGTGTAAGCTCACCTGGGTTTCAGATCCTTGCAATTCTTCGGCGACTTGGGGTAATTCAACGTTAGCTGAAAGTCACAGTTAATGCGTTGTTATATTTAGGTAAAGTACTTTAATATTTGACACACCTTTATAGACAAAATATTAGGTTGATTCGTATTCTAGAAACTGAATACGAATCACAAATACATGGGTTACAAGGGTTTATTAACTTTAAAAAATGAATATACAATAAAAAAATATATACTATAATGTTCTGAACCAACATCACTTGCCAATGATATAGATTGCAAGAAAGAAAAACTTTGTTTTACAATAAATCCGGCTGTATCCTTGAATAGATAGATATAAATTACCATTTGTACATATTTTTAACTAGAAGAAATTCAAATTATGGCAAAATTTTAAACACTCAGTAAACTAACTTGTGTGTCTCTTAATCATTTCGTAAATTTAAAGACATTTTTTAACTCAGTTGCAATAAATTAAAATTCAGTGAAGCTTTAATTTGGGTAATTTGGTGTTTTTTTTTTAGGCTCTTTTAAAAATAAAGCTGTACCAAATTATTAAGAGCTATAACTTAATGAATTGGTCTTCGATTACCTGTTGATTTTGTTGTTTTCTTTGTTCACAAAAAACGTTTTGCAGAGATTTGGTTTTGTCAGAGGCATGAAAAAGCTTAATTTTAGAATGGTCAATACATTTTTGAATCCTGCAAAGAATGGCGGCAATTATGTTTACCTTTCTTTTATCTTCTTTCAATTGGTATTTTACGCCGCTGCACGGTCACACCGTTTACCTTTGCGCTCTCCTCTTTGCTCTCTGCTTTCCTCTCCCGCTCTGCGCAAACTCCCACTCTGCAACAACAACATCACCGTCTCCCAGTGTGCCCATGAATTTTCTTTTTGTTTTCAATTTCTTTTTTCTTTTTAGTTGTTCGTTTTGTTTCGTGTTGCCAACAACAGCGGCTGCTGTAGCTTTAAGGTGAATTTAAAGAAATATAAGTACGACCTGCGCGCGTGCTAAATTACTCAAAAGTTACTCCCACACACACTGGCAAATATAAACAAATTGCGTTATCAGCGAGTGTTTGTTGCACTTTGAAAGTGGCGCCAAGCGGACGCCACACAGAATGCACATACATATATAAACATAGAATTTCGCACTACCTGCCTGGAAAAGTGATAAACGTGAAACATAAACAAAAAGCGGTGATAAGAGACGTTATCAATGCGCCGGCCGCTTGCAAAAAACGCTACAAACCCCAACAAAAAAGCAAATTCTTTGCGCTCTCCCCTCTCTCCCACTCTCGCTCGCTCTCCGCAACTGCAGCAACAAAATTATCAAGTTTAAAACTTGTTGAGCGGGTTGAAAAATAAAAATTAAAAAACAATAATCAAAAGGGGCGCAAGAATAAACTATACCAACAATGGTGAACAATTTTTAATGCTCTGCTCGCAGCGGCGTCGCGGCGACAGCACTGCCACTGACCTTTATTTGACTTTTAGCTGCCGCCGCTCTGGCAATGAAAAAATATCTCTGCCACACACACAGACAAACACAGGCGCACTTGGGGCCTCTCAGCTGCCGCTTCTTGTTGTTGGAGTTGTGTTGCAGCAGCGCGTGTCTGTGTGCGAGCGAGAGGGGCGACAGCGCCTTAATTTTCACCTCCCATTGCTCAATTGAATAAGAATTATCAAGTGTAAGAAGACATTGCCTCATCAATTGTGAGAGACTCTCGAACCCAGTGTCTAAATATCACTTTTACTTTTTCTTGCATTTCTGCTTTAATTGTTTTCAAACAAAGTTCCGAGTGAAAGGTGTGAGGTGAAAGAAAGAATGAGAGAGAGAAAGAAGTGCACTTGAAAAGATCTCTTTTCTCCGTAATTGCTGAATGCGCCCTCTAGCGGCTGCATCTGGATTAAAGGCCGAACAAAGTGTTAAAATAAACATAATTTATTAATAACATTAAAGATTAGATAGCTAATTGTCAGTGGGAGTGCCAAGTACCTCGAACTTAAATCAAATTTGTTATGGATTTTCCATTCATTTTGATTAAGGAAAACCGATAGTTATTAATGCCAAACTTTCATTAATTACCAAGTTAAATCCTTCTAAAGATGTTAGCTATATAAAGTTAACAAAACTTCAGTTAATTAACTCAATTTCCTGTGGAAAGTACAGATCGAAAAACAGTTGATAAACATAGTAGCAACTGTGTAAGAGTCCTGGACAAGTCAACAATAATTTATGATACCAACACAGATAAGATAATGGGTGGGTGTGTGCCCTTTGTCATAGGCTTAAATAATACATTAAATTGCGATTTTGGTAAGAGCTATTGTTTGTTTGAGTGTTCAGATATTACATAGGCTCAGGCCATAATTGGTTATTCGTCAAGGTCGTTCGGAACAAAACCAATTAAATGTCTATTGGTCTCATAAAAACTTAAATTTTACATAATGAAAGCTGTGTAAATGTTAATTGGCTAGAATACTTATTTATCTTATTCCTTTTTTATTTCCGGTTATTATTACGTATTTATTTTATTCGTAATGAAACTTTCCCTTCTTTAACCAAAAACCATTATATTCTTTTTAAATTTAAAGTAATATTGAAATTGGTCCTTTGCTTTATTTCTTCAGTTAATCTATGACGTTATTAATGAACAAATTTTGGCACAAATTTTCGTGTATACATTGTACATATGCGAATAAAAGTGGCAAACTCATCGTTGGCCATTTCCTACATCTAAAAATAGAATCTGAAAATGGTTTATGGACAGGCCCAACGTACGATCATCTATGTATATATTCTACATGGCTTATGGCTTATGGCTTTTGGCGCATGTCACGTACATAAATGCATGTGCCGGAGAGCGAGTGTCAGGGACAGGACAGGAACAGGGGCGGTTGTCGCATAGGTACCGCAACTACTGTCTTATCAGGCCGTAAACTGCATCGATGCAATGGCATTCGCCTGATAGCGGATCGATCGCACCTCGTTGCGTGATGATGCAACGAATGAACCGGCGTGTGATGACAATGACCAGCCCAATGACTACGACATCAAGAGCGGTCGCTGCACTGGGAGAAATAGAGCTCATTTCAGTTCCTAAATCACTCTTAGTAACAGTTGAGCCTTTGAAACATTGGAAAGTTCGATTTGGATCTTAAAACTTATAGACCACCAATCATGTTTCAAGCTAAAGTAGTTTCAGGAAGGTGTATTTATATTATAATACCTTTATGAAATCATTTTCCCAAGTGCTAAATAATGCAATATTTGGGCTCAGTGCTAGTGTATTGATAAGGAATCGTAGCTTGTAATGTGGGTCAAGCCGGTGGCTAAATTTAGTTGACACTATCAGTCCGCAACGAGAGCCTCAACGGAGAGGTTCAGCCTGTAGATCAGCGGCGCCTAGATTGCAACAATTCCCAGCATATCAAGATGATGCGCCGACAACAGTCCTATCGCTTTGAGGACAACGAGAACACCTCTTACGCCCTAAAAGTGCGATCATCTAAATAATTTAAAATACAAACTAAGCTTTATGACTTACTAATTGTTATTTCCTCTATTCCTTTTTTTGCAGATGAATCGTCGCTTTTCGAGAGTGGAGTCCGGGGCGGACCTGAAGGATTACTTTGACAGAGGTGACATCGCCTCCCGTGAGAATCGCTGGAACTTCGAGGTGGCATGGGAGGTGGCCAACAAGGTGGGCGGCATTTACACGGTGATCCGGTCCAAGGCCTATGTATCCACCGAGGAGATGGGAGAGCAGCTGTGCATGATGGGTCCCTACAAGGAAAACTGTGCCCGCACTGAGATGGAGGAGATGGAGTTCCCGAGGGGAAATCCCCTTTTGGATGCCGTGAACTCACTGCGATCGCGTGGCTACAAAATCCACACTGGTCGCTGGCTGGTGGATGGAAATCCGCAACTAATCCTGTTCGATATTGGGTCCGCTGCCTGGAAGCTGGATCAGTTCAAATCGGAGATGTGGGAGAAGTGCCATATTGGAATACCTCATTTGGATATCGAGACCAACGATGCCATTATCCTGGGCTTCATGATTGCCGAGTTCCTGGAGGAGTTCCGTAATTTCGCCGTTACCTATTCGCAGAACAATGAGCTCAGTGCCCCCAGGATTGTGGCCCATTTCCACGAGTGGCAAGCTGGTGTGGCCCTAATTGTTCTACGTACTCGCCTGGTGGAGATCGCCACTGTGTTCACCACCCATGCCACATTGTTGGGACGTTATTTGTGTGCTGGCAATACTGATTTCTACAACAATCTGGATAAATTTGCGGTGGACGAGGAGGCGGGCAAGCGTCAGATCTACCATCGCTATTGCCTGGAACGAGGTGCCACCCACTTGGCCCATGTGTTCACCACCGTCTCGGAGATTACGGGCTACGAGGCGGAGCATCTGCTCAAGCGCAAGCCGGACATTATCACGCCCAATGGTTTGAATGTCAAGAAGTTCTCAGCTATTCATGAGTTCCAGAACTTGCATGCCGTTGCCAAGGAGAAGATCAATGAATTTGTTCGAGGACATTTCTACGGGTGAGTTCAAGGATATTAAATACCATTATCCTTTTTATTTGTATGAGATCTTAACTTTTTGTAAGCAAACGAAGTAGAGGGAACATTACGTAAATCCTATGCGGAAATTTAATGTAAAATCTTCACCCTTGAATTAAGGTTAATCGATCGATTGAAAACATGACAATCTGTAATCTAGAAGCAAGATTACATATATGATTTTGCATTTAGACTGAATGCAATCATAAAATGAAATTTAATAGCATGGAAACTATATATAATATAAGTTACCAGCTCAGCTCACACCTTCAACTAAATAACAAAGTAAAATGTTCTGTCTACAAGTGTGGTATCAGGATTAAAGAGAACCAATTAGACATACATAGATTGTGTTCCAATTGATAGTGTGCTATATACTAAATTTATCTCCTTTTCTTACCCTTTCCCGATAGCCACATGGACTTTGACTTGGACAAGACCCTGTACTTCTTCATCGCCGGCCGTTACGAGTTTGGTAACAAGGGAGCTGACATCTTTATCGAGTCACTCGCTCGCTTAAATGCTATGCTAAAACATGAGAAACCCGATACCACAGTGGTGGCTTTCCTGATCTTCCCAACCAAGACGAACAACTTCAATGTGGACTCGTTGCGCGGTCATGCTGTGATCAAGCAACTCCGCGACACGATCAACAACGTGCAGCAGGCGGTGGGCAAACGGATGTTCGACACTTGCCTCAAGGGTAATATTCCCAATCCCGATGATCTGCTGCAGAAGGATGATCTGGTGAAGATCAAGCGCTGTATGTTTGCCATGCAACGTGACTCGATGCCACCGGTTACCACACACAATGTGGCCGATGATTGGAACGATCCGGTCTTGGCCTCCATCCGACGCTGTCATCTGTTCAACTCGGTGCACGACCGGGTGAAAATGGTCTTCCATCCGGAGTTCCTTACCTCGACGAACCCCCTGTTTGGCATTGATTACGAGGAGTTCGTGCGTGGCTGCCACTTGGGTGTTTTCCCCTCATACTACGAACCCTGGGGATATACACCCGCCGAGTGTACGGTGATGGGTATACCCAGTGTGACCACCAATCTGTCCGGATTCGGTTGCTTCATGCAGGAGCACATCAGTGATCCCAAGTCCTACGGCATCTACATTGTGGATCGCCGCTATATTGGATTGGAGAACAGTGTCCAGCAGCTGTCCAGCTTCATGATGGAGTTTTCGCGCCTCAATCGCCGCCAGCGCATCATCCAGCGCAACCGCACGGAGCGACTCAGCGACTTGCTCGATTGGCGCACCCTGGGCATTGTTAGTATATCATAAATACTTAACTTTTAGCAGTGTAAATTAACTTTTTATAATATTTATATACTTACAGTACTACAGGCAGGCCAGGGTTAAGGCCTTGCAGGCTGTGTATCCGGATTATGTGGATGAGTTGTCACTCTATGGATCGCGCAACAATTTGATCTTCTCGCGGCCGCATAGCGAACCGCCAAGCCCCACCTCATCGCGTAAGTGAAATGGAGAGTAGAGCGATTTCTCAGTAAATCTATGCATTTTGAGAATTTATCTTTAATTAGTTGATTGTAAATCATAAATAAATGCATTTATAAACATTCCCAAGAAGCATACAGTTGAACAGAGTCTTCCTAAAATTATTGTTTATATTCTGGAAATAAAAACGTTTGTGTTTGAGATCTAAAAATAAACAAATATGTATTTGATTGTTGATTACATATGTAACTATTAATGATTTGTTTAAATACTGTATGCAAGAACTGATAAGCAATTGATAACACTTTGTTGTATACTTTTAGACAAGTTTTGTATTCAAAATATGACTTTAGAGGCTTTATATTAATTTTAAAGTTATACTGATCAATCGCCTGACTTTAACAATTATGTAATTCAGATTCTAAAAACCTATTTTTATTACCAGGTCACACCACACCGGCACCATCGGTGCATGGCTCAGACGATGAGGACTCCGTCGACGAGGAAACTGAACTCAAGGAGCTGGGCATCAAGTAGGACTGCAACACTCAGGCAGACCTTTCAAATTGTAGCGAACAAAACAGAAACCAACTAAAAGAAACACACGCGCAATATTACCATAAGTTCTAGTAGTCGTCGTTCCAAACCACTGTTCATCGAGAGAGGAGGAGGAGGGTGGCGATCGGGTGGGAGCCTCCTCCACCTAGTAAGAAAGAAGCCTACGAAACTATCTACCTGTAACCGAAAATGCCAGAACAAATTGTTTCCACACATCAAATCAAATTATTATGTACTATTATACACTAAAAAGGATGGATTTTATTAAACGTTGTTTAGTCTATAAGGAGAGCGACGAGGCCTCCCACGCCCTGTAACCCTGCTCCACCTCACCCTGCCTATCAAATAAATCGTTATTTAAAGTACACTCTCACTGGTAAAGTAAACTATAACCATTTGTACATACAAAATGCAATGTCAGAGGTAGAAGACTTTAGTTTCAAGTCCAGATATTCTCCAGCTAAAAACGAGACTATTAAAATTACAAATTTAGTCTAGCCTTTCAGGGTATTGTAATTTAAAGCACAAGTTTACAAGTCAGCTAAGAATTTACTTCCTTAGTTATTCATAAGATACAAAGCTGAGGAGTTCAAGCGGCGTAAACCGCTTGAAGATAGTTCTTTATTGGGAATAGTTCTATAAACAAATGGCGAGTTCAATGTTGGTTTAGTAAAATGTATCTAAATTTAATTTCACAGAAAATCTTAAGAGTTCGGAGATATGTATGTACATATATCAGGAATCAAATTAGTTATCCTTGCGGTTTCGTTTGCTGTAAATCGATCGCACAAAGTGACGGCCACTTTGCCGTCTCCTGCGGCGCTGAGCTTCGACATTATAGTCCGGATCCTCCTGGGGCTTCTCAGGTGCCATTTCCAGTGAACCATATTTATCATTTAGACATTTTTCTATATCATCATCATCGCAGACTACAAAACCATCATCTCCAGATCCCGTGACATCGTTGTCATTTCCATTCTGGTTACCATTGTGGTTGCCATTGTTATATCCGGGGTAGTGGCCAGGATAGCCAGGGGGAGTTGGCACAAATGGATTGTATATGTACGGAATACTGTACATGGGCATCATCGGTGCTCCGAATCCCTGGAAGCAGCCGGCACACTGAGGTGGGAGTCCATTTTGCAGGATGTATCCGTAGGGCATATTGAGACACTGCTGGCAAGTGCTACGCTTCACTCTGGGAGTGTCAGCAGGCTCCTGATCTTGACCTTGTCCCTGGCCCTGGCCACATGTGAAGTAGGGCCAATTGTTGCCGAGGTACTGGCATGGTTGGTTTTGCCTTCTCGGGTGGACTCTCCTCCGCCTGGGCACATACTCGATGGTCTCGTGGCAGTTGTCAGGGTTCTCAGCATCGCATTGGACTACCAACTTGGCCAGCATCACCCTCGCCTGGCACCTTTCTCCGCAGACCCGCTGGCGGCTTTTCTCGCGACATCCCTCCGAACCCTTCTTCTCACACTCCCGATCCTGGCGGACCACATAGCAGCAGGAACCCTGATCACTGTAGCCCAATCCGAAGCGTCCGCCAACCTGGGAGACATTCTGCTGCACCTGGACATTGACCTGGTTACGGTTTTGGATTTGATGCTCAATGATGTTGTTGATCTCGTTCGTCAGCCTAATAATGTTGGTGGTGTTCATGGGGGTCTGTGGTGGTGCCACCACATCCGTATCATTTACGCCCTGCACCATTAGTGGCTTCTCGTACAGTTCCGGGCACACAGGACACTCCTCAATACAGGAAACATCATCGTCACACACACTCAGACACTGATCCCTGTTCGCCTGGCATTCCTCGTAGTCCCTGATAGTGGGCTGATCATAGTTCTGGAGCGGAGTGTGCACCACAATTGTTTTGTTATTCAGCGTGTCGGTTGGAAGGGCAGTGGTGGGGGTGGTGGTGCCAAAGGTCAGCAACAAGAAGAGGCCAACCACCGCAGGCAAGTGGAGCTGGAAAATGTGCAAGTACTGTGATATGAATATATCTACATAAATATAATAGTGATATATTTGTTTGAATAACTATAACAAACAAATATTAAGTGTCCATTTTGATTGAGGTTATACTTCCTGTTCCACTTAAATATGATAAAATATGATACTTCCTATTGGTGAGCTTTAAAAGTTTGCCAAATGTATGTTATACTATATATTTCTTCCCAAATGAAATAATCTTTTTAAACTATTTGTCCCCTAGGAAGTTTTTTAAAACTATTACATCTTTGGGTAACAGTAAGCCGAGAAATATGTGATCTTATCTTCATTATTAATAGGCCCATTAAATTGGCTACCATCTGCCAATCACAAAAATTTCATAACGAACACTTGATAACGAAATGGCGAGAAAAAAAGAAAATAGAATTGGAATTTTTGGGGCAATGCTTTTGCCACTATCGCACTTCTACCAATTTCAATTTAGCTTTAAAACGGCGCCAAATTCCGGGACTCTGATGATCCCGCCGCCAGTTTTCATTACTCACCTTGGAATGCGGCATTATCGAGTGTTTGGCGGCTTTGGGGTTCTTGGTTTCGCCTCGGTTTTATGTACGTCCGATGGTGCGAAAAGTGGAGTCTCAACTGCAGTGCTTGTGTGGTATCGCCACCCACAAACCCTCCACCACACACCGCCGCCTACCCTTGAAGATAACACCCGATAACATTATCAATGAATTGATTATTGACAAAAGCTTTCACTCAATAGGTGGATCGAGTCACTCGAAGTCTCACAGTTCCAGCATGCTGCAAAAACTTTGCTGGCAAATGATTATCGATAAGGATTTTCGCACTAGAGTCTGTTTTTAGATTTGATGTCAGTTTTGTCAACAAATATAGGGGAATCCGTTGAAATAGAATATTTAAATGTAAAAGAACATCCGCTCTCCTAAGGTTTAAGGTAAAGTTTGTATATATAGGCAATGTTTAAAAGTGACGCACCCTCTTATATCAGCACATTGCCCTGTGACGTCAAATATTATGACAACTTACGTGTTCTATTGAATTTCAATAAGTAAACAGTGTGCTGTCTCAGGCCCAAAAGGGTTGAGTGGGTAGTAATTTAAGGTATATAAACAATTACAAAACATTACAAAAAAAACACTGAAGAAATTTACTATTTAAGAAAGCCTATGCCGTATCCTTTTCTTTTTACAACAGAAATAACAACAACTACTGCCATTCACCAATAACACAAGGAATTAGATACCAATTCAACAATTAGCACAACTGAAACTTCTATGTTAATTTAATTATTAAATTATTTACCAAAAATTTATGAATTTCTGTTCAACAACAAAAATATCAATATCTACAGCTATTCACCAACAGCAGAACCAAATTGTTACCAACATTACAACAGTCAAACCCAATCTATTAGTTCTTTGAGAATGCCACTAAAAACAAAATTAACCCCATAGGTAATTTATTAACTGAACTTGTTGAAACGCTGTGACTCAGTAAAAGTCCAAGTTATATTTGTATATGACAAGCCTTCCTTTTACCCTGTCGGGAACCATCCTTCCGAGGGTCGGCATCCGATTTGGCCAGGATATTGGGCGCAGTATTGAGACTGATCATAAAAGGCACAATTGTGGCTGCTGCATTTGTATGAGTAGCAGTACGAGGAGCAGGTCAAGGAGTCACCGGCCGCACAGCCGCTGCAATCGTAGAAATCTGTGAAAGGAAATCGGAAAAATCAGACCATTACTCAGGAGTTTTCCATCTCATTGGCTTACTGTTTGCCGGCTGACAGACTCCGCCGGTGGACTGGCAACTCTGACCCGCCCAGTTGGGCGGTATGACCATCATCTGGTTGTTGGCCTGCGTCATCCAAGTGGAGACGACCATCGGTACGAGCACCACTCGGTTGGCACTGCAGAAGGTACCGCACTGCTGCTGGCTCCGGCTGAAGCATCTGTAAGTCTGATTGGATTGGGCGGTGCAGGTTCGGGGTGCAACCACTTGACAGCAGGGTCCCGTTGGTGGTTGTGGCACCACCACTTCCACTTCCTCCTCATCCTCCTCGGAGGTTTGTCCCGGTATGACAATCGAGGCATTTACTTTGACATTGTTCACATTGTTTGTGATCAAATGGGGCAGATTGCCAGACTCTTGGTGAACGGTGCTCTCCAGGTGGATATTCCCCAACTCCGTGGGCCGAGGGATGGAGCACCTGTGGCCAGTCCAAACGAATCCTGGCGGGCAACGGGCCTGTGTGCAGTGTCCATTGGCATAGACTCCATACCCGCCGCAGTAGAGAAGGCGACAGCGGTTCTTTACCAGGATAGTTCCTTCCGGGCAACGGATCTCGACAATATCGTCCGGAGGAGGAGTTGATGTTGTTGGCCAGGGTGGATACGTTGGTAGTGGCGGATAGGTTGGCATAGGCGGAAATGGCGGATAGGTTGGCAAAGGCGGAAGTGGCGGATAGGTCGGCAAAGGCGGAAGTGGCGGATAGGTTGGCGGAGGTGGTAGAGGAGGGGGAGTGGTGTTGTTTGAATCAGGATTGCAAGAAGGATTCTTTGTATCAGGATTGCAAGGAGTTGGATTGTTTGAATCCGGATTGTTGGGGGAAGGATTGTTGGGAGCGGGATTGTTAGGACAAGGACTGTTGGGAGAGGTATTACTGGGGGAGGTATTGTTGGGAGATGGATTGCTAGGATAAGGATAGTTGGGACAAGGATAGTTGGGGTAAGGATTGCTCGGAGAGGGATTGTTGGGACAAGGACTGTTCGGATAAGGACTGTTGGGACAAGGACTGTTCGGATAAGGACTGTTGGGAAAAGGATTGCTGGGAGAGGGATTGGTTGGACAAGGATTGTTGGGGGAAGGATTGTTGGGATATGGATAGTTGGGATAAGGATAATTGGGGTAAGGACTGTTAGGGTAAGGAGGATTACCGCAATTATTATTATTGCATGGAGAAGTACAGGGTGAGTTTTGGATACAGTTATTAAGACAGGGACTGGCACCCGAATTTTGGCAAGGTGTTGGAGAATTCGTGACGCAAGTCGTAGTACAATGTGTTGAACAAACAGTGGGGTTAACTGGAGAATTAGGACAAGGAGGATTACTTGGAGCCACAACAGTCGGAGTTAAGGGAGCATTTGGACAAGGAGGATTACTTGGTGCCACAACAGTGGGAGATAAGGGAGCATTGGGACATGGAGGAGTAGTCGGAGGACTAGGAGTAACCACAGTCGGACTTAGCGGAGCATTGGGACACAGAGACACCACGGGGGCCGGAGAGGAGCAAACGCCATTGATGTAGACCTCGCCTGTAAAACATCCATGATTTGGATTAACAGGATCGAATGGAGTACAACTCAATTAACTCACCATCTGGGCAGAGACTTTGATTGGAATCGGAATCGATAGCCTCCACTGGAAATCCGGTGATACAGATTAGCAGCGGCAGGAAAAGCGGCCACCAGAGAAGCACTTTGCGATCACACATGCCGATTAGAACTGAGACCGGCACACACTGATCGCGGATGAGGAGCAGTCCAGTCAAACACCCCAAACCAGAAGCTGTCGCCAGTGCGACCTTCAGAGTTATCGGGATCCGGAGGAGAAGGTTATCGCGGTGCCGGCAATTATGCTTTCCATTCAGAGCCATCTCAGTGAGCTCATCGCCGGATCGACACTTTGATTAGTCTCTCTTCGAGTGTCATCGCGAACAGATCCCGTAGATCTTGTTCCGGAAATCAAGCAGTATGCCTTCGAAATTGCAGAGATCAGCTCTCCTCGGATGTCTGATAAGCCTTTTAATTTGTGAAATTTCCTTGGCAGATATCGTGGTAAATAATAAATAATAAAATTGTCAGCAAATACTTGTTAATATCTGAACCCAAATCCGAAATCCCAATTTCCTTAGGAGCCATTATGTCCATCGGGTTATCAGTTTATCAATGGCCGGTGCGAAAGCGTGTCTAGTTGTCCCACGGGTAAGGTCTCTTTCTCTCTTTTGAAATCTTATAAAAAGTATTTACGAAATGTTCAGTTCTAAAAATAATTATGCGTACTCTTTAGAGTCCAAGATTATCAGTAAGGTTTTGTGTACATTTGTGTTTAATTTTAATTGTTTCACAAACACAAACATTCATACATGAATGTTTAAATGGCTTTGTAAACTAAAAATAAATTACATTACTTACAACAAAAAATAATATATTATAAATATGTTTTAGGTGTCTCTTGTTTACAATTTCAATGAGCTTATTTTAATGATTTTATCTGTAAATTTGTGGGGCAATAATTATGACGCCTTTAAGTCTATAAATAATCGATAAAGTTTGATAAGTGGAAAGGCTTGAATTCCTTATCAGCGATTTTAATTCATTGCAAAAAAAAACTGTAGTTTAATGTCAACACTGAACTTAACTTACTTATTGTAAGCAATTAATTGCACTTTTCGAAACATTTATAAAATAATATGGTATTGATTTCTAGGATACTTTTTGAACACAGATGGAAATTGTTATCCACAGACTAATCAATGTCCCCCTGGTAAGCTTAAAAAGTCCTGAACCTCACTTCACTCGGAATATATATTTTATTTGAATATATTTTTAACATTTTACAGGCTATAACTTAAGTCAGGATGGTAATTGTTATGCAAAGTGTAAAACTGGTAAATATAATAAATAAATTAAATAAGAGCCGAATTATAATTAATCTATGATTTGTTTCTTATTTAGGCCAGTACCTACACAAAAATGGAAATTGCTATCCCCAAGGAACTACAAAGTGTCCTGATGGTAAGCATAAAAATATACCAATTATAAACTTTTTACCAATAATTATTTGAATAAAGTTAGACTTTTTACATGGTTAAAAAAAGCTTAAAGCTTTTATGATTTAAATACTGTATGAATATGTATTTATTAGACTTTTAAATATTTTAGAATATTTCCTAAATGTTGATGGTTTGTGCCATCCGACGAATCCAGTGCCTTGTCCTTTTGCGTCGACAACTACTACTACTACAACAACAACAGAACCAACAACTACAACAACAGAACCCACAACAACTACTACTACAACAGAGCCCACAACAACTACCACTACAACAACAGAACCAACAACTACGACTACAACAACAGAACCAACAACTACAACTTCGACAACAGAACCAACAACTACCACTACAACAACAGAACCAACAACTACCACTACAACAACAGAACCAACAACTACCACAACAACAACTACCACTGAAGAAATTCCGCTTCCGCCTCCTGTGGAATATGTTCGCTGTCCACCGGATTCGATTTTCTACGAGGAGCAGTGCCGCAAAATCGTTTGTTCAGAAGGCGAATATTACGCCGGACGCTGCATATCACCGGCCTGTCCGCCAGGAACCGTATGGCACGGTCGACGGTGCCAGGAGCCTGGTTATATTACCACCATCCTGGAGATCGGCAATGTGATCCACAACGAGCATAAGTACAATGTAACCAGTGAGAATATAAATCGGGTTGAGTATGTTACTCCCGCTCCCTACAATCCGGACTCGGATAAAAGCTACGAGGCAACCCCACCGTCGATACCCGAAGACACAATTGTGAAGACGAGCACGAAACGACCTTGGGTATATCCCAGTTTAGTGCCCACCACGACGGAGCGAGGAGATGAGGCCTTTCCGGGTAGCCTGCCGCCTTCGGGCTGCTGTGTGGTAAAGAGTCCCCGCATCTGCATCAACTACGCCCCCAACTGGGTGTGCTCCAGCAAGGATCACAAGTTATGCGATCCGAGGGTCTGCACTTCAAATGTGATTTACCTCAAGCCGCCGCAGGTCGTTCAGACAGAGTACCTCAACCGAAAAATGGTTGTAATGCCGCCCAATCCGCCGCTGGTGGCCTGCAGCACACCTGACTGCAAGGAAAGTGGTGAGTTTTAAATAATTTAGCAAACTTAATATGAGGTAACATAAAATACATATATCCCTGCAGATGTTCTAGATTGCTCCGGTTGCAAGGACCATCTTCGGGACAAATGCTCGCCCGGCTGCTACAGCTATTTCTGTCCCAATGGATTTTGTGGCTTTATGAATACCCAAGACTTTTGCGAAATCTATCCGGGTGAGTTCGGCTGCAATCCGAACGATGGATGCATTTGGGACTGGTGCAATAAGAAGTGCTACTGACATTGCAAATTGTTAACTCGATGTCTTCAATAAAGTATCCAGATTCCTGTACTTAATTAGTCAAAAAATATGTTATTTTTTCCTAATTTTGTGTTAATTCGGCTTATATTTCCCCAATTATATTTATTGATTTTAAATAATTTGGGTTTCCCCTTTAATAGCAATGGTTTGTGCCTGCACCTTTCTAAAATGCAACACAGAAAAGCACCCAATACAATAACCTTACCCACTATAGGTATATAGTATTAAATTTTAGTATTTTACCTAGTGGGGAAAATAGGTAAAATCAATTTTTCTCTACACGGGTAAAATGTAAAATTTAAATATAGGCACAGGGATTTCAATTCAATAATTATTAAATATTTAAATGGACTAAAAGAATGTAAAAGGTCAAGTAAGAATTTATACAAATAAAATCGTTGATTATAAAATTAAATTAATAGGAATAATATATTAAATTCCACTTTTTCAGTCTATAAGCTTTCAAAAGCTTTTTCAACTAGTTTGAATAAAGCTTAACTGCCAACACTGTCGGTTAAAGGCTATAAATACCAGCGACCAACGTCATTTTCCAAAAAATTTTCGAGCGCGACGGTCCAGGACGGCATGTTTTTAAAATAAAAACAAAAAATAAAACGAATTACGACGACGGCGCGGCATCATCTACCGTTCGGTGTGTGTGTGTTTAGCGGATTTGAGTTTGTTTGAAAAAAGAATAAGGCGGTCGCGGCGCCGGTGTCTCTGTGATTGTGTGTCTCACTGTGTGTTTTTGTGTCTTTGCAAATACAAAAGCAACAAAAGTGTCGGCTACGGGGTGAGCAGCGCAGCAGCAGCGGCGCAGCAGAGCGGCGACAGCGGGAGCGACGTCCAGTGCATTTTGGTGAAAAACTAATTGTTGTTGTGAGAGGTACGGTAAATATGAATTGGTATGCGTGTGAACTGCCTATGCGTGTGTGTTTTGTTGGTTTTTCTGTTGTGGTTTTTTAACGTGCAAAAATAAATAAACAATTGGCTGGGGAAGTAAACAAAAAGTGTATAGTAATAATGTATACATATGAGCAAAAACTGAAATTAAAAAGACATTCATGTGTACATATAAGGTTAACCGAAAGTTCAAAGTTTTAACTTTAACTTGCATATTTTCGTTAATATATTAAAAAATATAAAATTTCAGAAAAGGCCGGGTAGCAAATACATGGCAAAGGCAATGAAGAGACAGAAATTATCTTTAATAAACATAAATTGCGCTGTTGTGTAAGCATTTGTTTATGCCGTGCAAAAAAAATCATAAATTGTAGAATTCCCACAGAGGTGTTCTCTTCTCCCCTTGACTTTTTCTTTCTCCCTCTTTCTCATTCCCCCTGTAGTTTGTGTTAATTGAAAAGAAGGAAAAAATCAACAAACTTCCTGTTATTTTTTTTGCATCTCCCTCTCTTTCTCGCACCGCTCATAACTGTTGCCGCAGACAACAAGAGTATTATTGTGGCAGTTCCTCCCACTCTCTCTCTCTCTCTCTCTTCCGCCCGCCGCCCTTTTAGCCCTCTCGGGCAAAGGGAGTGTGTGTGCCTGCGTCTGTGTTGGTAAGAAAGTTTTGTATTTGCTTTTGTGATTTCTGCTTGCTGTTTTTTGATATTTGCCAGAAGTGCGGGCGTTGAAGTTTTTACTGCAACATTTCTCTGCTCCAGCGGGAGCTTTTATAATGTGTGTGTGTGCTATTATTAAAACCCCAGCGCTCTACCACGCACACAGCCAAGAGTGCATGTGAATGGGGCAAAAACTATGCGAGTGTGTGTATGTGTGCGAGGCGTTGGCGTTTCGACCAGAAGCCGAAGTAGAGAAAGAAGCGGGCGAAAGGAGTGAGAGAATGAAAGAGAGTGGGGCATAGACAGAGAGAAACAAGCTGTGGGAGAGCTGCAAAGGATAGTTAATAAATAAATCACATAAACCATAATGCATAAACATTAGCGAAGCTAAGAGGAAGTTGAAATGGTAAAAATAAAGCATTAAACCTGAGTTAAGTAGGTTTAAAGCTTTTATTTACCATGTTAACGGTTTTCTTAAATAAAACCATTAATATTACGTATCCGTACAGTTGTCTTTCTATACCTGCACTTGTTCTTGCAGGCGAAAATGATTCCAACTCGGCAAGTGTTCTATTGGAAATGGGAGTTATTTTTTATTTGATCCAATCCTCTAAGGAATTTCCCTTTACAGATGTAAAGTTAATAAATCAAATAAATCGGTTAGAACATAAAACATAAACATTATGGAAATCAAAACACAGCTCCCAATGGAATTTCTCATCAATGGGATTTTCGAGTGTTTACCTTTCGCTCTCACCCATCAGTCCGTCTCGGTTGCTCCCATTTGTGAGACATAAACGGCGCCGCACATTTGCCATGTGTGTAACACCCCCGCCGCCCCATTACCCTACCACTCCGGCCCATCGGGGTTTGCAATAAAGCGTTTTACGATCTCCGCTGCCTGACGCACTTGTTGTTTTTATGACAGTTAAGCTATTTTGCGTATGACACGTTTGACAGATGCCAAGCGCTCAATGCGGCTGTCAACGCTGCTGTTAAACGCAGGCCATCTCTGTCTTTCTCTTTCTCCTCCTTTCTTCCCTTACGCTCACGCCCACACGTAATGGGGTGGTACGATAGGAGTGGACCACAGACTCCACATTTGGGAATAATTGTTCAAAAGAACTTTGCTTAGTTTGACCAAGCTTTGTCCTTTGGGTATATTCATTTCTTAAAAGTTTTTAAGATTAAAATCAGATCTAAATGGATTAATATTTATATATGATTTAAGTGTATTAATTAGACTAGACCTCGATGTAGTAAGAAATATATAGAAAGGTATTGCATATTTCTTTCAGTTCCCTTTGAGCTACTAATAAATGGAAACATTATGTTATTCAGGAATCTAGGATATGTGTCATTATTCCCGAACTCACATTTTATAAAGCTAATAAGTCTTAATCAGAAATTGAAGAATATTCAAAATATTACCAGAATACTAAAGACTACAACCAAAAACTTTCCCATTTTGAATAATGCACCAAAAGTCTCCTAAAACTTAATACTATATAAATTGTTATGTTTAATGTATTAACAAGAACGTGCCTAAAGTCAAAGTATGGTAGTAAACTTAAGAAGCTCCATATTTTCCATTAACTTTAGGTGTCAATTAAAGTTATTAGCTCAGTTTAACAAACGCCGGCTCTTAATGCTGACTTTTATGAGGTAAACAACGATTATGACGGTCGTTTCTTTTGTTCAATAATAGAATACAATTTACAACAAAGATACTACATTTTGTTGGTTTTATTGTTAGAGGAACATTGGCTTATGTAAATTTAGAGCCACCCTAACACACACACCCCTTTTGGGTACCAAAAAAAAAAAAAAGTTTGTGCATGTTTGTTGGCTGGCATTTTAATTTCAGCAAGCGTTAGAAATAAGGGGTAAAGTTGGGGGCAGGAAAGAGGAGAAGCAGGACAGTGGGCTGTCTTTTCGCAGCTACTTTTACGCATGTTTTCGCGCAGAGGCCAAAAAAAAAACAGAAAAAATAAGTCGGCTTGACATAAATTTTCCCGGCCAAATGTGGCAAACTACGATGGCAACAATAAACTGGGCCACGCCTACAGAAAACCCATAAGCTGCAAACATCAAATATCAACAGCAGCAACAGCTATAACAACAAGAACAACAACACAACTGCCGCTTGGCTTGTCGCATGTAATTGCTTGCCACAAAGTAAATGACAATAGCGTAAGGCAAAAGACACCGTCATCGCGAGCACAGTGGGCCATCGTTTCTGCCGCTTCTAATTTGTCATTTTTATGATATTACTGCTTGGGGGATTCTATATAATTTCCAAATCAAAAAGTATTTAATTTTTTGGGGCCCTAGTAAATATATTGTATTTGGGAATAATTATAGATTTTAATTAACTTAAACGTGCCACTGAAACTATTGGGGATTGTATTATAATGTACTATAAATACAATTTTAATAGCTTATATGATTTTAATTTAATTATTTTGGAGGTCTTACAATTAAAACGCATATATTTTATAGAATCCATATAGGTTTATATTCCAAGCTATATCTACTAATACTTAAAATTCGACTCATTATTACTTTTATACTATAAAGATTATAACTTTAATATTTAAATAATAAATATTTAATTTTATTTATTATTTTCTTTTATGACCATTAGAAAATATTTCCATTTTTTAATTAATTTGCCATTTCGTCCCATGGTACTGGCAAACAAGTTGAGGTTGGTGTAACTAAAAACCGCAAAAGCTTGTCACTCCCCTCTTTGTCGCTTCCCCCGTTTTGCGCCCTTACGCCCCTTCGCTGTCACGCCCCCTCCAGCAGCTCCACCGATCGCCTCCTCTCCCTCGCACACTTCTATGCTGTCGAAGTTGTTGCTTCCGCTCTCGCGGTTTCGCCGCTCTCACTGTTCGCTTCTTTGTGTGTGTGTGCGTCTGTAAAAGTATCTCTTAGCTGATGTATCTTTAGGTGTTGTTGTTACTGTGCGCTGTACGTGGGCGGCAACAGTATTAGAAAAATAAACCTCAAGCCTCAAGTTTCAATTCAAGCTTTAAAATATTTGCTCGATGACGTCGGCAGTGGCTTTTTTAATATTTTATTTCTGGTTACCCTTTAGGAAAGTATCTGCAACTTATAGATTTATTTATATTCTTGCTTATAATTACAATGTTTGAGCTAACCAAATTGGTTAATAAAATTTTACTAAATTTTTTTGAGACTTGCAAATATCAGATGTATTCTTAACAGGTATTTTTCTTTTAATTTCTGGCATTATTGAAATGTAATTTAAACTATTATTAAGTTTTTTATACCTTCCATTATTTGATGGAATAATATGATAGTGCGGCTTAAAGATACTTGTTCTTTTAGGTATATCTTTACTGCAAGTGTATTTCAATCTTCTGCTTTATTTCAATTCAATTTTTATGGCCGTCATACAAATTTTGTTTGGATCTGTTGCCTGTTGCAGGCTTAGAATTTAATTTCGGTTGCCCCTCAGACAAAATAAACAAATATTAAGGCAACACACACACACACACATGTACACTATCATGGCAAATTGATAAGGCAAACAAACACAAACATTTAAACATTTTCTACCATTTACGTATCGAATATCACTTTTTGGCGAGCATTCATTTGTTTATTCTCGTTCCATTATTACTTGTGTTTATTTGCCTTTTTTTCTTTTTTCTTTTTGGTTTTCGGTCAAAGCTTTTGGTCATTTAATATTCATTTATTCAGCCATGTTTATTTATTTATTTGCGTGTCTCTCGTTCGAATTGTATGTGATTGTGTGTGGCTAAAAGACCAAAAATCGAAGAAAAAAAAAACACAATCAGAAAACGTGAAATCGCATGCTAGGAGCCATGGCCATGATTTTGAATTTAAGCATTCAAAAGGCAGTGGCAAAGAAATCGATAAATAAAATACAGATAAAATATAATCGTAAAAAGCACTTGGCATCCATTCGATACCCTTGTGGCAGGGTCATCGATTACTTTGATTTGTTATATTTCTGCACTCTGATTTCCTTATCTTTGCATTTAATTCTATAGTTAATTGAGTTTCTTGTTAAAGTCTGGCAGTGTTTACACATCATAATGATGTCATAAGAAAGTCGTAACTTTACTTAGTTTAATTACCGATTAAGAATATAATATAAGAAGCACACTTTATAGGAACCATTAAAAAAGAAAGTTAACACAAAATAATTAATCAGCTAATTGGTTCGTAAAAGGCTGGGGATAAATAAAACAAACTGTAAAACCTTTGTTAAATTATCACTTTTTGATGGTAATTAAACTATAGATACATTTTCCCATAGTTTATAAAC